GCAAATACGATAAAGGTGAACAGAGATCATATGACTGCTTGCCATATTATTCTCTATAACCTTCTGTATATTTGTAGTATTTCATAATTTGGAAGCTTTAAAATGGTAAATAATGAATGCATGAATCTATTTATACATGCTGTGGATACAATCTGAGGTTTGGATAGAAAAATTGGCATTTTGTCAAATAAACTGCTTGAATAACCACTGCTATAAAATATGTAAATTTGATTATTGCAATTATTTTAGGATTGTAAATCAAGGTATCCAGGAACTAGAAAAATCTATCAGCCAGTCAGGTTGACTCCTCTGCCAGGGAGGATGTGCTTACTGACACAGGGCTGCGTGAGGTACACAAGACTGCCAGACAAACGCCTTATCAGGAGAGCTTGTGCTAACCCTTCAGTCCTCTAGAATATCTAAAAGCAAAGAAGTTTTCAAATCCTGTTTAGTTAGCATTGCCTTTTTCAAGAAATGAAAAAATCAAAGTCTCTCACCAAGTTTGTGATTTCCTCAAGAGGAACTATAAGCTAAATTAGGTGATGATCTGGAGACAAAGGGGAGGTGTGACTATCACACTCTGAAATAGGACACCTGTGTCTGTGGTCTGTGTGGTCTTCCTTCCGCTTGGGAGCTCTGCCCCTCAAGAAGCACATGCAACGGTGGTAAAAATCAGGGAGAAATCTGGGTGGGGCTCCTAGTGATGATCACAAATGCTATGTTTCCACTGCTGCACTTTTTAGTACACCGTTTTTTGTTTTTGTTTGTTTTTTTCCTGGAAGACATTGCTCGCAAAAGCAATAATACCCAATACCTAATTATACTTCTGTTATCTTCTTTATATATCTTCCTTATTTTGGCCCCACAAAAGAATGAAGAAAGAAGGAAAGTCAATGGGCAGACAGCCTGTGTGTGGTGCATGTCTCACTTATTTTTCCAATGTATTAAATACAACAAATACTTTAGATGCAAATATGAGATGACTACGGAATCTAAACATAACTAGGAATGAATCTTAACTACATGCAATGCTACAATATCCCCTTGGGTTGGATCTTTTTTTATTTTGTTTTGTTTTGCTTCTGATATCAAAAGGCTAAGAAAATAAATGTGCTCATCATGACTTTATTTTATACTTCAAAGTCAAAATAAAAATTATGCAACAAACTCAGCAAATGTAAGTCAATGTAAGCAAATGTAAGTCATGTAGGAAAAATGCATTCAACCATTATTCTGAAGAATATATATTTTTCACTCAAGAATATAATAAAGATAGTTCAAAAATTAAAACAAGTTATAAAAATGCTAACTTTGCTTAACAGAAGTGCCCTCAGTTTATAATAGTGTTAACTATATAGAAAAAATAGGTATTTTCAAACTGAAATGAAAATTAGTCATGGTACAGAATATTTTCAGGAGGTGTATAAAACTGTCAAGTCTGACTATGTCATTCTTTTTTTTTTAAATTAAATTTGTGATTCTTGATTTTAATAGTCCACAGCTGCTCTGTCTTATTAGTATTTTGCTTAAATTCACTTTACTGTTTATTAACGAGCATCTTCTCCCACACAGCGAATACACGTGCTCAAAGAAACTAACATACAATCATGTAAAAGTGAGTTTACTGAGCCATTTAATGTTAAATAGTATGTGATAGACATTGAAAAAGCATTAGGACTTTTGCTCTGTGAAGCCTGAAAAATCATTTACAGGAAAGCATAGGTTCTGTGCTTAGGAAGGGAAAGTGTTTCAAAGGAGTCACTTCTCAGACCTTCACATAAAAAGCTCCCTAAGTACATTTATTACATCCAAACAGCTATCTCAAATCACTTTTTCCTGAGTTTTTTTTTTTTTTAAACTCTGTTTTGGTTTACAAAACTGTTTTGTTATGTATTATTTATGTGACACTTATATAAAATTTATTATTGTTTCAGTTAGCAAAATATAAGCTATAGATTGCTGAAATATAAATGATAAAAAATAACTTTTCAAAAACAAACAGAATACTTGAAGGCTCATGGTTGTCTTCAGGTCACTATTTCCCTTGAAATTATACAGAGATGACTGGTTCCATTATCCTTCTACTGATAACAGTGGAACTAGCTCCACTGTTGTTATTACTAAGGAAAGCACAACATGCCAGGCAGTGTTAAAATCATTTAAAACCACACATCTGAAAAGTTACAAGTAGTATTTTCTTAAACTCGTCTCAAGTAAGTGCTGCACTTTTGGTTGAAAGAGAGTTTCTTGTGTTTTAATTATAGGAAGCAGAATTTATCTATAGAATTGTTATGAAAGCCAGTGACTAAACTTGTCACACCCTGCATTTGGTTTAGGTATTAGCAGTTTGGGACATTTTTCACAAATGTTAGCTCAGGAGTAAACACTGTTTTACTGAAACACAATGGCATAGAATATGAAAGGAAGTTCTGCAAGAACTACGTGGCACTGGAAGCCAGCGAGAGAAATAAAAGAACGCAGATGCTCTACCTGACCAGCCTAGGAAAATTATACAAATAACATTTCTACCTCAGGTGAATGGCACACAGACAGTCAGTTCACAAGGTGCCCCCACCTGAAACACATGCACACACATGTGCACACAGTTACCTCCGGGTTAGGGTGTGTGTGCTCTGACTTTAAGGAATATATAAACTAGAGGCCCCATTTTTCCACAGTAACATCTTTTTAACAGTTCTCAAATTAAACTACTCTACAATAACCACATTTAATTATTGGTTGCTATTTCCAATATCTGAGCTACTCCAATGAACCAAGGACTAATATTACATGGTTCCTTTTTACTAAATGCCTTGTTTTCCCATCACGTTATTAACCAGGAAATGAAAAATGTGAAGGCTAAACCCTCTTGTTATTTGGAAAAACTAGTCTCGGAGAAAGCAGTGGTTAAACAGCAAGAAGCCCGCACCCATCTGGGATGGTTAGCTTCCTGTTTACTGTCCCTGAACAGCTACAGTGAGGGGAGCTGGTGCAGACAGATGGATGGACAGACACGGCCAGGACCGCAATCTGAATCCTCCATACATTTAGGAGGATCTACCTCTCTTCTACCTCCTGCTTTGCTCATGTTTGGACTCAGGTGTTGGAAATGAAAGGATTTAAGTTAAGCCCTTATTTTTTAAAAAGATCACAAATGTGATTTTATAATTAAAGCCACACAATCAGGACTGCCAAACTCAGAATGGCGGTATACAGCTTTCATGGCTTCTAAGAAAAAGCATAAGAAGGAAAATGAAAACGCACAAAACAAACCCTTCATGTTGTTTACTAACCTATACTTCTATCTCTCTAATAATGTAGTATGTGAGTGTAGGCGTTCTTAATGTCAAGGCCAAGTAGCAAACCTCTTCTGACCTTATTCCTGTATAATGAAGACTTATACAAGATACACACACAAAGAAAAACAAGAAAAAAAAGTCACTGCCATGGAGTCAGTTTGACTCATAGTGACCCATTCTTGGGTTTCTGAGATGGTATCACTATGGAAGTAGATTGTCTAATTTTCCTCCCAAGGAGGGGCTGGTGGGTTTGAACCACCATCCTTCTGATTAGCAGTCAAATGCCTTAGGCACTACGCCACCAGAGCTCCTATACAAGACATACACACCTCCAATTTTCAAAGCATGTAAATAATTTTACATATCACCTCTCCCAAATCCTTAACACTCGAGTGTTGAGCAATCTTAATGAGTGCTTTATTTCTGAGATGGCAATGTTTTAAAAATAAAAGCAACAATTCATAGTTACTTAGCCTCTTTTATGCTTTTCTAGAAAAGCTAGTACTTCCAATACCACATCACCAGGTAAAACTATTGTTAAGTGACTTTTCCAACTTCACATATCAATTTCAGGGATAATCACATACTATCTAAAATGGGGCATTTTTCCTAATATTCATTTATGGCAAATGCTTTTCAATAAGCCAATGGCAACCATATACATTTTTCCCAATGCTAAGATTCATTATATTAACTTTTTCCATATATGAATAAAGAAATAAGGAGGGAATTTTAATATAATCTTTATAGGAAAATATGTAAACCCCAGTAACCTAACAGAAACACAAATAGAATCATCATACCATTCATTAAAGACCATCATATTTGGTTGTTTTTTTCTTATGCATAAATAAAAATGCAAGGATTTAAGTGCTCCTAGAAACCTTCCAGTTGCATCTTAAATTGTTTTCTTTTTTTTGCTTTTACTGTTAATCAAGAGATTTCTATTCACATGCTGAGAAAATACATACATCCTACCAATTTGCCCATGTTGTTGTTGTTGTTGTTATGTGCCGTCGAGTCGGCCCCGACTCATAGTGACCCCTCCTTGGGTTTCCGAGGCAGTATCACTACGGAAGTAGGATTGCCCAACCTTCCTTCCGAGGAGTGGCTGGTGGGTTTGAACCGCCAGCCTTCTGGTTAGCATAGCAAGTTATATTGAGACTGAATACTTGAGAAGTTAATCTTATAACTTTTGTTTGTACTCTATGTTCCAAGGTTAAAATGAAAAACTTCAAAATATGACCCTAAGTTTTATTAGTCAAGTTACAGAAATTCTCTGATACTATATAGATATGGAATTAATCTTCCTTAATTCTCCTTCCTAATTCAACATTTATTCTAGACATCATGCAAGAGGTCCCCTATGGGTGTGTTCTTTCATGACATGAGTTACAGCACAGAGTGCTTGAGAATAAATAGAAATTTTAAATAAAATGTTCCCTAAAATAATCTGTCCTTATTTTCTGTTTCAGTCACAGATTTTGGGAAGGGGAAGCACTAAAAAATATTATTACTTACCTAATTTAAATGTGAAACAGACAAAGAATGCACAAAATCTGTTTTGCTATTTTATGGGGGTGGTAAGCCTCAAGAAAGAACTGTAAAGAATGTGATGATCATACTTTCAACCAATTGCTCTGGAAAGAGAATTCTGAGACCTGCAGGCTCTAGCTCATATCCCGCAGACGCATTCCTTACCGTGTCTCCTGGCTTGACAGAAACGGCCACCACCACTCCAGGCATCGGGGATCTCAGAACACTGTTTGTGTCTTCAGCCACTTTTTCCAGCATAAATTTGTTCAGTTCTGCCGCGAGTTTGCTCAAGATATGCATCTTATACTTAAGGGAAAGGAATAAACAAAAGAATTTGAATGATGGGCTTTTCCTCAAAAGTAAATTCAAAATCAGTTTTCAACTTTTAAATTTAAATTATAGTAACAGCTTCGAAGTCAAAATGTTTTTTCTTCTAATTATTACACAGCAAACAAAATATATGAATTTGCTTCTAGTATATCACATGAGCTAGTTATTTAGGAAATTTCTTGAAATAAGCACTACTCCAGTAATTAATTTCTGATTAATAGAAATCATCCTGTATCATTAAGAAAAACACCTTGAAACTTTAAAGAAAACAATGGACACTTTACTTGAATTCCCTTCACCACTTATCCCAATTAATGCAAATTCTGCAAGCTGGGTCAGTGGAAGGGTGACCAGGGCAACACTGTGAGGCAGACACCAGTAGATGGCAGCAGATTTCTGTCTCAAACTTTCTATACCCAGACAGAGAGACAGACAAAGAGAGAGAGACACACCACACTATTATAAGTAAGTTAAGACACAGGGTTTCAGTGTTCATTTTGGGTAAAGTAATATTTAAAATTTTAATTTTTTCCCCATGACTTAAAATGTTATATTCACTACTGAAAAAGCTAGCTTTTCTCTCTTTTAGGCAAACATTACTCAGTCTTTCAAATGTACAAGATGGCTAGGTTTGATAAAGATGGAGTATAATTAGAATACCTGCTGCAGGAAGAGAAAATAAGAATACAGATTTTTAAAGATTGAGCAAAAACAATATACACAGCAAAGTATTTTCACGGCACCCTGTGTAGGTGGTTCTCAAACAATTGTTGTTGTTATGTGCCGTTGCATCTCGGACCCGACTCATAGCGACCCCTCCTTGGGTTTCCAAGGCAGTATCACTACGGAAGCAGATTGCCCAACCTTTCTTCCGAGGAGTGGCTGGTGTATTTGAACCGCTAGCCTTCTGGTTAGCAGTCAAGTGCCTTAGGCACTACGCTACCAGAGCTCCTTCTCAAACAATTAGGGGCACATTGAAACTGCTGGCAAACAGAACATTCCTATGAGCAAATCCGAGATCTCCAGAGACAAATGTATGAGCCCCAATTTGGTCCATCCAAACAGAAACAAGATCAAATGAGGAAGTATTACTGGGTGAAGTTGGAACCACCACCTGAAGATTTTAGGACTCCTTCCAGATGGCATTTATCTTAGGTACGATAGATGCAGCACCTGAGGCATCTTCATTTTGTTCAAAAAAAAAAAAGCTGCTTGTAACTCAAAGCCTCCTGTGGGCATCACGATGGGAGGATGAGAAAACCTCATATAGTCTCCATTCTTTCATTCTGTACAAGGATGACGAAAATCTGTAAGTGTGCTCTTTAAAAGGGGGGTGGGTGGGCTCTGAAGCACTTTGATAGCTAAGTTCCAAGTAGATTTGCGACACTGTGACAGGTTGAATAATAACATCTTTTGCATGTTTCTTTACTCCTGAGTGTGTGTTTTGCAATCAAGACATACAAGTATCTGCCAGTTTCTGAAGGATATGATCCTTAAGTGAAATTACAGTGCAAATAAAAGCTTTTTGCTCCTATTAAAATTCATCTGAGTCATAAGTGGCAAGGGAAAAAAGCAAGGAGAGTGCATTCTGCTGTCAGTCTAATAAACATTCTGGGCAGAGGGACTATTTATCAAACATGAATTGTACCTCAAAGTCCTTCATTAAATCTATGGGGGTGGGTAGCAAAGGGAGAGGAGCGAATATAATTATACCAAATTGCACAGTTTTCGTATCCATGCTCTGTCTCCTCGGGAGAGAAAAACTCAGCCTAACTAGAGGTATCAGAATCAACACAAAGTTACTTTTCTAGCTGGCATCACCCTGGGATGCTTCTTCTATGTGACTTACTAGTATTGTGCCCAGCTGCTTCGTTTTCAGGGTAGTGTACGTACCTATTTTTTTTCCGTTTTTTTGCACAATCCAGCTTTCAACATATGAATTTTCAATTCAGGAAAAGTATCTATACATTGAGTATAATTTACTACATTTCAACAAGATGGACATTCTTCTAAAACTATTTTAGTTTTATCACAAACAAGCTCATATAAGAATAAAGTGCTAAGATTGTAAGCAGTTCCATTCCTCCCCAGAAATGACAAGATCCTGCCTACAACTCTATCCCTTTTCTATTTTTATAATTTTCATATCGTTTGGATTCCTTTCTCTGTAGGGCTCCTGCTTTGCTTGGAAAGAGATGTAAAAAGCCACAAAACTCAATGCCTTTAGATGCAGTCTTTGTTATTGATGAGCTGTTCCTTTTCCTTTTGTATTTGTTTATTGTTCTTAAGTCTGTGTGGGGGATAAGCGACTTATTGTAATCGCAAGTAAAAAATAACAACAGAGTAAACTCCTCAGGAAGGGCCTTGTTGGAAATAGTTGGCTTAGAAATGACCTTTCTGAATAGAAAAAGAGGAGGCAGGGAGAAGGTTCTCTTTTTAAGATTACCTTTGATGTTGTCTTGACCCCATCAGAGTACCCACACAAACACACCCTTCTTAAAACAATCCCTTGGCGCACCAGTGTACTGTGTTACACAGGGGTGCTTGTCAGGATCGCATCTAAGCGGAGTGCAGCATATGGGCCCATCAGAATGAATTGCCTGGTGAGACCCGTAAAAGCTTTCTGATGCCCCCAAAAAGAAGTCATTTAAGAATGTATACGAGGACTTTCAAAGCTTATGTTCAAAATTGCTATTTATTGGTTTCCCTGAATTCTTAGGGGCACAGACAGAGCAGCTAACTAGTTTCGAGACTTCATTCTGGAAAGTGCTCCCACCATTTGGTTTTATGATAAGCATTTAAATATTCCTAATAGGTTCTGGGGGAGCTCTGGTAGCGTAGTGCCTAAGGCACTTGACTGCTAACCAGAAGGCTGGCAGTTCAAACCCATCAGCCACTCCTCGGAAGGAAGATGGGGCAATCTACTTCTGTAGTGATACTGCCTTGGAAACCCAAGGAGGGGTCGCTATGAGTCGGGTCCAACTCGTCGGCACACAACAACAACAATAGGTTCTGGTAGCATAGTGCCTAAGGCACTTGACTGCTAACCAGAAGGCTGTCGGTTCAAACTTACCAGCCAGTCCTCAGAGGGAAGATTGGGCAATCTATTTCCGTAGTGATACTACCTCAGAAACCCAAGGAGGGGTCCCTATGAGTCAGGTCTGACTCGAAGGCACATAACAACAACAACAACAACAACAAAATGTTCTGCAAAATTTCCTTGGAGAGTTCTGTTTCAAAGTTTGGTTGTTGGTGGTGGTGTTGCTGTAAAGCAAACAAACCACAAAATTGATGTTTTAAGGTGAGAGGCAGAGATTTCTTAGTTGATAAAAAAGAGAAGAAGCACAATCCTGAGAGAGGCCTTATGGCTGTCATCCTGCTAGGTCAGAAGAAACGTCTCCTTGAGTGATAAGAAGAAGCTTGTTGGTGGCGCTGGGCAGCCACAGAGCCAGAAGTTGATTAGCTCTGGTTTCATCAGTAGATGTCACTTCACTCTGCAGGGTTCAAGAAGGTGTTCTCCAAGCCAGAGTCAAACAAATAAAAACTTCTTGATGAACACCTCATGGGGTAAGTTAGAAAAGAAAACAGGTGCTCTCAGGGCCTGGCCTAACCGGGTTCCCTGATGGATAGATGACAATAATGGGAGGGAAAGAGGTGAGATATCTAATGACCTAATTATGGTAAAATGACCCCAGCCTGGGTCTCCTAGCAAATTAATGTTATGGTCTGCAACGTTAAACCATGGCTAACAAGAAAATCTCTCTGAAAAGATTAAAAGAAAAAAAGAAATGGAATCATATCAGACATGAAAGGATAAAGAAGAAAATGCCAAGAGATGGTCAATAAAAAGGCACACAATAGAATTGTTTTTTAAATTAACACACAGCTCTTCACATGGAATCTGATAAAGGCTGGGGGCAGATTGCAGCTGTTGCTGTTGGGGAAGGACGAGGGGGCCAGTTGGTTTGGGGAGGGCATATGCATTTTAATTGGGCTTACTTAACAAAAACATGCCTGCCAGTGGGCCAGCACCCAGAACCAGGAGCTCCTGGACAGTCAAGATGACTTGCTACAAGGCACAGACACTACACTCAGACAGACTGTCACACAAACACCATGCTGTTGGTTCCTGGAGTAGTTTAGTACATGAATCTGCCTACGGAGTCTAAATCCCTGTACTTATTTCCAAGGCCTCTAGACTTACCAGAGCTTTTACAGAACAACCTGTGTGCTAATATGTGTGGTTTAGAGGCCTGTGTGCTGGTCACAAGATGCAGACTTTTTTCTGTTGTGATTTCAGAACCTCTTGTGTCATTTCTCTTAAACTGAGCTCTGTTCCAGTTTCCATTTCTACATTGTTCTGAGCTGCTTGTGTTTTTCAGTGCCAACTGCTGGCCTTTTTAGTCGACATCTGAGTGGAGGGTAGAGGATGAACCTGTACTGTAAATTACTTTAACACCCTAAAGCACTGGCCAAACATTGGACATACATTTCTTCAAAGACAAGGGTCTCTTCTCATTAACGATTTTACACCTTTTGGCCTCAAAGGTCTTGAACATTAAAACTGTGCTTTCATTTCCACAGTGTGGCAGCGAGAGCTACACTATATTGTCCCCCTTGACTTATTTGTTAACAAGTTTTATTTCTACCTTCCTAACTCAGAGTAGGAGAAAAACCATCAATGTTTTTAAAGCAACAGAAAGGACAAGCCGCAAAAATGATACGTCTTAAAAAACAGCAGTGTCAGAAAAGGTAGAGAAAAACACTGAATACTGATTAAAACGTTTAGGTAGAACAAGAATTGTACTCTGTTTTCCTTTCCTGCATTCTTTGTAGGAAGATTAGAAAAACATGAGTTAAAAAGCCATACAAAATACATTTTGCTCCACTTTAGCATCGGCTCAATAGCCCAATTTCCAAAAAGAAAGAAAAAAGCAAAACAAACCAAGATCTCCAAAAAAGCAGTGCTAAAGACA